AAAGAGTGAAATTGGAGGAGTCTGTAGAAAAGTGGATCTAACTCCCACAAGCAGTGAAATTATAGATAATTACATCTCATCTAAATGTGTTACAAACAAGCTCTTGGCCACTCGGGGCTATATTTGCAAATCAGATAATACTAGTGTGTAAAATGCAAGGTGAGTAAGAGTATTAGGAAAGAATAGTCTTCATCTCTTCTTTTCCCATAGTTAAAGAAAAGGAGGAATTTCAAAAATCACCTGTTTAATATATTAACATATTCCTTCTATATTGGTGAATAGGTAACATTTTTCTAGTGTTTTAGCTGACCTAGCAAGTGTTCTAAATCATTGAAGAGCATCTTCAAAAATATATCTAAAAATTGAAGAAATTCACAAATCTTTTTTTCACTTTCTTTTGTCTCCATCATCCCTGCTGACCCGTTTCCACTTTTTTTAAACAAACCTTATGATGCTTAAAATCATCATTATTCTGGGTCTAATGCAACTTCCACTGCATGGAGCTAAATCTTTTCACTAAATTTTAATAAGATATAGACATTAGCAGCATCAGTTTTCCAACATGTGTATCCTCCTCTACAGCTCATTCTTGCCTGTAACCAGCAAAGTCTTTGTTCGGTTTAAATTCATGAGATATGTTTCCTTTTTTTTTCACTGCAGCACTATATGAAGTCTTTTGAAATACTTAAGAGTAATTTTAAAAGGAAACCAAGCAAACAGAACAAATATTGGCAGTCTTCTAGAACTCAAGAATTCAAAAGATAGTGAGCAGTAGATCTACACCAAGCTCTTGTGTGTAACATTTTACAGTTCAAACACCTTAACACAGTCAGAAAAATTACTTGTTTCTCAAAGCCTAACTGTACTGTAGGGCAGCCGTTGGACTGCTGAGCATGAGTTGACACAATCCAGGAGGAGAGTGGTCTGACGCCGTACTGACATTCCTGTTCTTTAGACTTAGACTAGAAGCTGGTTTTCTGGTAGGTTATTTCTGTAGCGTAAGGGACATGCTTCCTGTTAGATTTTTCCCATATGCTGTCCTGGAGCTCTCCCATAGTCCCTCCTTCATCCATATACTCTGTTACGTCCAATGAACTCCCTTTTTGCCAATCTGTATTTTGCCTAACTTTTCAACTTTGCAAACAAGGATTTCTGAATATGCTTAGTTTGCTTGCTTAAGCACAGGCCAGAGAGAAGTTTAAAACTTGGTGCCCGCTCTGAGTAGCTCTACTAATTTAAAAATCTAAATGCTTTATCTTTCTTTTTTTCTTTTTTTTTCTTTCCAGTCAAAGAAATATTTGTCCTGAGAATACATCATTCATAACTGAAAACAGTTGGAACGTGTTGTTAGAAAAAAAAAATATTTTTTTCTCTTAAGTCAATATACAAGTCCTTAGGAGATTTTTCCTGCTAGGTACTGCTTGAATGATGATAATACTCACAAAGCCCGCAATAATGTTTTCTAATTGTGTATGTTGTTATTACAACTAATACTTTATGTGAAAAGAAGAAATAAATTCTTACTTTGCCAAGTTGGTAAGCCCAGACAGACCTTCAGCTTCAATTTTGGTGATTTTGTTGCCGTCAAGGTGAAGTTCAGTAAGAGATGGGGGAAGGCCTGAAAGAGAGAACACCACCAAAATATTTGTGTAAAACTGGATTACTCTCACTTTTTTAAAAGACTTATGTTATAGTAAGACTCATTTATAGTAACAAAATTTTTTTTCTACACATGACCAAGAACAATTCACAGAATGAAACAAGGAGCTTTCACAATCGGGGAAACTGAAAACAGATAGTACCACTTTATCTGGCATGAGATGAGATCAAGCTCCTAAGGTCATCGTAGAACAGTTAATTCTTTAAAGGAAGCTCCATGAAGTCTTCAGGTATGAATTTTAGCCTTTATTATTATGTAAACGGGACATTCAAAACCCGCCTGGATGCGTTCCTGAGTGACCTACTGTAGGTGATCCTGCTCTGGCAGGGGGGTTGGACAAGATGATCTTTTGAGGTCCCTTCCAACCCCTGACATTCTGTGATTCTGTGATTCTGTGACATACTGTAAAACAGCCATCACTTTAGCCAGACTATCCACATCCTTACATCTATAAACATTTGACACCCAACTATTTAACAAATAACAGCAGCAGCAATTGAGATTATAAAGATGAGATAAAATAGTTTTAATGTTATCTTAGGTAAGACACATACTAGTTTGCAAATTCTGTTTATCAGGAAAGAAGTTGGAACCAAATATTTTAACTATTTGAAGTCCCTCAAAGGAACATCCAAAACAGGAAATGTGGGAGGGAAGAAAGAAATAACAACTATTATTAACTTTCAGAAAAGTTTTCAGCTATTTCAAAACACTCTGTTAGCTGAAGCATGAATAAATTTAATATAATTTCCTCTGGTTTGAAATCATTCTGGTTTGGTTTGGTTTGGTTTTTTATAGGTTATATTGAAATAGTTCTTATTCTGTAACAATTTGCAATGAGACTTATAGAGGGCTGATTTTCTACTTGCAGAGCTTCATTTAATTCTACATGAGTCTGCATCTGTGCAAGGTTTATCAGGCTCACCAACCAGGATTGGAGGATGAAAATATTCTTCCACTTTCTATTTCAGCTATGAGACCAGAAAAGCAAAATAACTAACAAAACAACAAAAAGTTACTTCTGACAGCACACCTCTTGTGGAGCTTATCATGATAGGAAAACTAAATTTTTCAAACAAACAAAAGCCAACTGACCAAAACCTGAAGTGCTCAAGTAACGCATGCTCTAAGGACCAAAGCGCTTACTCTAAGGACCGACGCAAAAGGCTTTCAAAATCTTTTTTCCAGCTGACTAAAGGTCACTGCATTATACTTGTGCAAATTTCTGAAACATTAATTGAATTTCTTACCTTTTGGGATGCTGGTAATGTTGGTGTCTGCGATACGGATGTAGGAGAGCCTCTTCATCCCCTGAAAAGCTCCATTTTCAATTCCTGAACTCTTGATTGGATTGGTGCCTAGTTCTGCCAACAAAACATGGTCATGAGCTGTGCTGTAGTGCAGGTGCCTATATCCTTCAGGTCAAAGCTAATTTGAAGGTACACTATATTGGAGCATTTCTTGGCTTTTTACATAAAACTAAAACCAACATCTTGAAAAAATAGAGTTGATTCTCTTATAATTTCTTATTCTCATACCTAAGACAATCACTTGGTTCAGTCCATTAAAGACAGCTTTTCTCAACTTGGAGATGTCATTCTCATGAGCCCGTATCTCCTGGAGAGACTTCGGCATATTTTCTGGGAGTTCCTTCAGGTTATTCTTGGACAGGTAAAGTCTTTCCAGTTTCTTCAGAGGAGCAAAAGCTAATGGGCTTATTTTGCTGATTTTGTTGTTAACAAGGATCAATGCCTGTGGAGTAATAATGAAAATCTCAGATGATCACTAGGGAAATTATTTTAGGAATAAAAAATTTAAAAATTATCATTCTTTTCTAGTCTCTTTTGATGCCTTTTCATTGTCAGCACTAGTGAGTTGCAGAAAACAGTTGCCGTACTAAAACAGATTAAGAATTGGAACAGTGAAAGGCACATCAGGCCCACAGAGCAAACATAAGTGTTATTTCATTTCTGAAGTATATGTAGCTTCTATTAACATCCATAATTTATACTCAAAAATAAGTATAGACCTCCCATTTCAAAGCTATGCAGAACAAGACATACACATAAAAATAATACTATCAGGTTTATTTCCTTTTTCTGATTTTGTTTATCCTGAGGATACTTTTATCTCTTACCCACAATTGCATAACCACACTAACCAGTTTCTCCTGAAAAGAAAAGATAACTTGGTATGGAAAGGGAGCAATCTGAAGTGTTGTACTATGGATCTTGCATTTAGGGATCATGGACCATATTGATTCCACCTACTGTATAGGTGTCTACTCTAGTTCTCACAATTGTCATATCTTGACTCAGCGTAACTCTAAGCAAATTAGCTCTCTATACAGTCAGGGGAAAAAGGCCTCCATGAAAGCTCTGTCACCTGTAATACATTGTCTCTGTATGCCTCTGAAATTTTGTGTTACTGCTCCCTTATTGATTAACTAACCATGACAGAAAAAGGGAGAAGAATGTTCCATTACTGTCAGTACAGAAATGCAGTTATGACACATATCAGAATGAATCTTATTATTCGATCTGTTTGCTAACTACTTATCAGACTTAGAGAGCTGGATGCTTGTGCAATGAATTGGGCAGAATGAATTAGACAGAATTAATTAGGTTGTATAAACATAGATATAATATTTAGTTATATTTATTACTAGAGAATATCTAGAGAAGAGCATCTTGGCTCACTAACTCCATTATGCCATTTTCAGAAACAAAAGACAATCATTGCTGCTAAAGCAGACATCTGCATATTGCATATGCTATGGTTAACATCCAGTGCATTTTAATACACTTTTAATATTTTTGTTTCTTAGAGGAAAACTTAGAATTCAACTCTTTTCCATAACCAGTTAAGTATTGAAACAGTTCTGAGAAGTGCATCTGCAACTGCAACAGCACCTCTCCATCACAAACACTGAAAGAGAGGTGAGAAGATACTTTATACCTGATATGTGTTTTTTTCCCCAATGGACTCCTCTTGCATACCATCCTGAGCAAAGAAAGCAGTGTGTTCTGTACGCACTTTCACTGAGTACACGTAAAGCTGAGCATATCTGGTTTTAATTTTGTATGCTAGCTAGCAATAACATATTTGCAAGAGGAGGTAGAAAAGGTCACTCACAGTTCAGCATAGTTCAATAAGTGTCTCTAAAAATAAATATATTGGTCAGTGGAAGCCATGGCCCTAACCCTCTTTTATTCGAGCCTAAGCTGTAAGAACTGCCATGAAAACACACAGGGTGCACACGGGGTGTGGTTTCCTGAGTTGTCATTGCCAGAATTGCGATACAGATGTAGATTCTGCCCATCATGTAACACAGCTACCTGCACAAACTGGGACATGGGAAACAACCCAGTTATTACAAGTGGTACAGCTTGAATTATGCAAATGTTTTTATCACTATTGAATAATTGAATGAGCTACTGATAGTTATATTATTTATTATTTTTTTCTTTTTTTGTCTTAAATTTACTATGGATTTCTTTTCCATAGACACCTAAGTCAAAATTCAATAAGATTAGACTCATCAGCACTTGAAATTTGTATCCTGTGCCCTGCTTTACACTTCTTGGTCATTTATTTCAGCTAGAAGTCTGCCTCTTCTTTTTTATTTGTATTGTTTTAACTTGGTTGCCTTTTAGATAAAGAATGTTTGAGCTGTGATTATCACAGCTGAAGATCTGATGTGAAATATTTCTTGCTGGAAATAGATAGATGTAAATTCAGCCAGGCACTGCAATGTAAATATTCGCTCTGCAGTTGATGTTGAGATAATTGTTACAGCTCTTCAGAGTAGAACTGATAGTCCTGACAAAACCCAGAAATTATCTAGGTATCCAGGATTAATCTGTTCTGCTTTGCCAATGCTTTCTCCTGAATATGATCATGTTTTGTCTTGTGCGGAAACACAGAGAGGTGCTGTTTTATTCAAACATTCAGAAAGTCTCTCATGTAGAAATGATGGTATCTATGAAAGGTAGGACAAAAAATACTGATTTCACAGTGGGAACATATGTATGATGGTATAAGTTGGGAAGGTATCACAAGCCTGCGCGTTTCAACATTTCTGTACCAGAATATCATTTCCCACTTACACACTGCTCTGCAAGTCCCCGCTCCCAGTATTTTAAACCTGCATTATTTTTCCACACTGTTTTGCAGCTGTAAAGAAATAAAAATAAACCTACACATCAGAATTTGCAACTGTTTTACTGTCTCCCAGAGCAACAGCACATGATGAGGATAACACACCAGCACACCACCTGGCAAGCCATACCCCTGGGTTTCTTTCCCACTTCACAGTAACTCTATTATACGCAAGACTTAAAGAACTAAGTTATTAGCCTCGGAGCAATGCTGTTTACTTTCCTCAGAATGTGTCCCGTATGGTTTGTATGTTACAAAACCTAAACCAAAGCAAAATAAAATGAAATTAAAAACTCAGGGGAATTTAGAGGTCAGTGAAAACAGGAACTAGAGGAGAAAAACCTAGGGAAAACATCTGCAGGCGGTGTTATTGAGGAAGGGATGTAAGGCAAAAAATATGCCACATGGACCAGCTATCCTGAATAAAACCCAGATGCCATGATGGGGCATTATATACATCTTGTTAAAAGACACAGAAAACTTTTGTACAGGTCAAAAAGTACTTGGAGGAAAAAATAAGGGTCAACCTGAAAGTGCTGACAGTGCTGGAGCACTTGGCCAGCAGATAGCACTTTTGATGCTGCTAGTATGATATGATGTGAAAGAGATCTGACAGGCTAGAACAGAGCCACAGGAACTGATATATTTTTTCAAAAAAATCTGTCTTCTATCACATTTGCATTTTTAGAGGAGGGAAAAAGATACTTCTCGTAAAATAAATGAGCTCCCCCCCCAAAAAAAAAGAAAAAAAAAAGGAGAAAAGAGGTGAAGCACATCACCAATTCACAATACTAATGGCTGAGCACATGAATTTACAGCTTTCTACATGACCTGGTATCTGTGCACAGATATTTAGCCATAGGTAAGAAAAGAGTAAGAAAGAAAAAGTGAAGAGGCACAAATTTACCAAATATTAAAGGCATCACTTAGGCTTGGAGGCTTCACAGCTATTTCCTGTGGATAGGACAAATATTAGCTTCCATCCTTATTTTCCTGAGATAAAGACTCTTTTCCTTGTCAAATGGAGCATGTAAATATTGCATGGTAAACATTGACTCTGTTACAATACTGCACTGTGATAATACCTACAGACAACCTTATCATGACCAGCATTTTAAGAGGTGCTCAGACAGGAAAAAAATAAAGTTTTGCTCTCAAAATGGATTACTCTTTAATGAAACAGCTTTAGTATTAGTGTAGTCAGAAAAAAAAAAATAATTAAAAAAATAAAAACAACTGTATGACAGGAATAGACGTTGGCTTCATTGAAGTTAGTGGTAGTCTGGCCATTTAGCTCCCTCTGGCCTGGTTTCTACCTCAAATATTTATTCCCAGAACAAAAAAGAGGATTCACAATTCAGGAAAATTTTGGAACATTTGTTGGCAGGCTTTTGTCAAAATACACCCTAACAAACTGCAGAGGGAGTGTGTGGCAATCATGTGGGAACCAGCATAGGGTTATTTTTCTTGAGGTTACAAATATGTACAATTTTTGCTCTGTCTGGGAATGGGGAGCAGGGGGGTGTATTTCTTTGGTGAACTTTCATTATGTGAGAATCTCAGGGGATTATTTTAAGTGGTTTTCATCTGTGCTTTTGTTTTTAGTTTAGCATTGTTTGAAGTGAGAGCCTTGCAAAAATCAGAACTGAACTATAAAATGATCAACAAATTGTTATCAGCCCTAATAACATGGCGATACATCTGTTTTGCCAGCTGTTAGCCTTACCTAACATCAAATCTTTAATGATGCATGTGTCCTTCAGGGTTTAAACCGGAAAGCCAATCCGCTGACCCAATGGAATTTCTTTAATTTCCTGGGTTATGCATTACACTATTACCTGTTTTTTATTAGCTCTGCTATTGGAATGCCTTGAGAATCGTAAGCTCAGGAGTCAGACATCCAAATAAAAATAATAATAAATTTCATCCTTTTTGTTTGCCTTATGTTTTATGGTTAAGCCATACTCATAACCTGGACATACAGTCAATATTTTTTTCTGCCAAATGATAGAGAGTGGATGTACACTTAGAATAAGAACCCCACAAACAAACAACAAAAAACACACAAGAAGTATAAAGCAGAACTTGGCTTTCTTCTCTTATTGTTTTATACCTGGAGACAAAATTCTACAAATTAAGTATTTGTTATTAAATTCATTCAAAAAAATCATAAACATTGTTAAAACTGAAGGAACTGAAGAGCCTCTGAATCCAAGGAGGTCCCTGAACAGATTTCCTAATGTTATGTCTCCTGAAGGGCCCATGATCTACAGTTAAGTCAGGAAAAGGATAAAGGTATAGAAAAATATGACAGTGCAATCATTGCTACTTAAATTCTTTGGTAGGGCTTGGTAGTAGGATCAAGTGGACATGGCTAAGAAAGGTAAGGAAAAGGGATGACATAGAATCAATAGGGAAGAGATGAACAAACTATGAGGCAAGGAGATGGCGAGGCATTGAAACAGTAGCCTGTCAGCATAAAGACGACTGTGGAAAACAGGTTGATCACATCCCAAGTACCTTGCTGAATAATCTCAAGAAGGCAAAGAGACTGCTGCAGACCTAGTTTGCATTCTGCATGGCGTTTGAGTCATGTAAAACATGACTAGCACAGATGACCAGGGAGCAGCTAGCTCTACCTTTTCCTGCTCCAACAAAAAGTAATCCTAATACTCTGGAGTTCTAGAGAATCATTCAACCCCATCTTTGTCTGGTGAGGGAAGAATTTGGGTCATTCATTTTATGACAATTGTTTGTATTCTATAAAATTTTTTGTATTGTTGTATTCTATAAAATTTCCTTTTCTCCATTAGTTTAGTGCGCTGATTCTGCGCAGAATTTTATGGTCCTTAAAGTATTTTCTTCTGTTGTTTTGCTCACATTAAAAAGTCTTTACCTTCTGCACATTAAAAATGTTTTGCATGCATGCAGTGTGCTGCACACTTTTTTAGTGATAAATTTGTGTATTAAGCACAATACAGAGGAGAGTCTGAGGAAATGTCAACTCTCTAAAGGAGTACTGCATATAAAAAAAATAATATTTTCTGTTGTGATTTTTTTTCTTCTCAGAATATTTGTTAGAATTCTACAGCTGCATGAAGTGGAAAAAAAAAGTATCTCTTAGTCCTGTTAATAATATCTGCCATTGATCATAGTGGAAATTGAATTCAGAGGTAGAAACTGGACAAAGATATCTGTCTTTGAATTTTTAAGTATGCTTATGGTTACTGATTCTTCATTCTGTGATTTGCAGATCATTATGTCTACTTAACATCTCTTTTAATTATGTGTGGGAAAAAGGAAATGAAGTTGTAATGAGTCATCTGAAGACTCTGTTCTTTCATTAATGATTGTTGATCTGTTAGGAGCTTTTCTGTATCCCTGGAAGATGTTATTAGATATTTCTTTGGTTAATCTGGGCTCTTATCCCTCCATAGGGAGTCTTCTTTTGATGAAAAAAAAAAAAAGTGCATGAAGCTTTTTCAATTCAATACATTATTTTTCCACTTGATATTACTCCAAAGAATGTTTAGGTTTATTTGCCTGCGCACTTAGTGTTGATAATCCCTTAGCACGGATGGTCACAACCTTAAATCCCAAATTTAAAACTTTTATGTCTTTCACGCAGGTCTTGTCTTTTGGTATAAATATAACTGGTTCCAGCCCTATTGTATGCACGACCACGGATTTGCATAGTTCTGCTATCTTAAATGAAGCAATGTTCTAATTGATTTCAGGCCAATAGCACATTCATCTTCTTATGCTAACACTGTGCCATTGAAAAATTCCCATTGGAAGAGCATGCACTTGCTACTCTGTTGTCTGTGCTGTTCTTACAGTGATCTAATACACAGTAGTTTCTTTTACCTCTTTTTCCAAGTGCCAGGCGTTATGTTGGTTTGTTTTGGCTTTGCCACACAGCACGCAACTCCGTGTGCTGTTTTTGTAGACTCCTCCTTCACCCTGCATGAGGGCTTACTCATGTAGTATTTTGGATCCTTTGTTGTGTCCATGGGGTTCAAAGTACTGTACTCTGTCCAGAAGTGTCAGTCTGCCTGGAAAATTCTGACAGTTTCATAGAGGATTTTTTCCTGGCTTCTCCAATAGCACCTCTCTGATTGTTTTGCCACAGGTCTAAATCATAAGCGAGTATTTTACAGAATATTAGCCAGTTTTCTGAAACCGCAAAACTCTGTCTTCGGCCCTAAAAAAAGACTGTCTTCATTTTTTTTCCCTGTTCTCTCCAGTCCTCTAGTAAAAAATAGATCTTATCTTTCGTTTTTAAATAGTGAGAAGTCTCGCTGAGTTTTTATAGTACAATATTAGTAGTTTAGCCACTATAAAAATATTAACTGCACTCAAACTATTGACTCTGGTGTTCTCTGGCAGGCATCTATTATTTCCAGATAAATACTTCCTTAGTTACATCTTTTTCTAATTGCTTGCCATATTTCCACAGCTGCAAAAATTAATGTCTCTTTAACCTACTCATGAGAATTTCCTAATGCAGAGAATATATTTGCAAGCACTAATTCCTCTTTCCTTTCTATTTCCACGTATTGGGTGCTCAGAGCATAAGCAGTTACATTTCTGCTGAAAGAGAAGCCATGGTCAAACTACAGGTAGATGTTTTTTAAGTACAAGTTGAACTTTAGGTCCAACTCAGTTTGTTCATTGAAATCTCTCCTAAAACTACTAAACCTATTGTTGCTGATGTCTGTAGGACTTAGGAAGAAACTCAAAAGGAATATTCAAAAGGAATTAAACTGAATATACTGTTCATTTTTATTCTTCAAGAACTATGAAAACTGGTATGTAAGGAATTGTTCCCTTAAATGATCACTCCATGAAAGAGATTAACTGCAGTTGCTGATAATTTTAGATTCTGGAACCATAATAATGATAATTTGTGTAAAATTTCCTGGTTTATTAGAAAATAAGGAGGTTTACTAGAGTCTAAGAAGACTAGAAATTTTTGAACATCACACTGTTAAGCGTAATCCTAACACAAGCTATATCAGGGAATATGACTGAAAAGCATATGCATGATATACACACACATATGTATATTACATGCATATATCTCCTGAAAACAAAAGTGACAGTGGAGGTCTGTCAACAACAAAGCTTTTGAGTTACATTTATCTGAAAACAATATCTCTCTTTCACTGTGACCCTGAACGGTATTTAACTGCAAGGTGGGTAATGGGAATCATTTTCTAATATTACACAAGAAGAAGAAGAATGATGCCTGCTGAGAGTAAAGATGGTGGTGCCCAGTTACGTAAATGCACTGTGTGACTAAATTATTCTTTGGGAGAGGACTTGAGAGGATTGGGTTTTGTTCTTGAGTAAATCCAGGAAAGCTGCACTGTTTTGAAGGTTATTTCTTAAAACTTATGTTACTGTTGCCACTCTTCTGTATGATTTCCACTGATCCCTAAGCATGTAATGGGTACTTTTGAGAGTAAGACAAACAAATAATCTCTTCCCTGAAGAGCTACCTGTTTTATTCTCTATTAAATTATGGCTGCTGTAAGGCAAGAGGGGAAAAGAAAATCCATGGAGTTGACCTCAGTGAGATGATACAGTTCACAAGAGCTTAACTCACAGCAGGACGTCTAACTGAAACCTGAGTACCAAGGAGGCAGAAGTGACTGGGGACAGAGCTTTTCATCTGCAATACTGACTGGAATACATTCTGACTCATTTCATGCAGTGTCATGAAGAAGGATTGCTAAAAGATTGATTTCATTGACAAAGTTTTTCTCTCTTTTAGCACCTTGCAGACGATCTTCAGTGAAAACACAGGATACCTCTCCAAGGTGGAAGAAAACCAGAACAAACAGGCAGGAATTAGGGTATCAAATCTGTTCAGTAGCCAAGTAGAGAGATTGAAAAAAATTCTGGGGTACAGGTAATCTCATTCTAAAACTAAGTCAGATGAAATGTGATGTAGAAGCAGCTACTTCTTTTTGTCGACTGTAGAGGTTATTTGTGTAACTAGCTGAACTCTAGACATTTATGTTAAAATTAGATGACATGAAACCTCCTCGTGATTTACTCATGCAGCTCTCTCCACTATAGATAGGCTGGCATTGTGCCTATTCATGGAATTTTTAAAAAACTTTTTTTCTTGATGTTGCATTAAAACAAATTTGGAAGTAATTAAGGAGATAATTTTTTAAATATTGGGTTTTTTCCAAGTATGTGTGGCTGAATGCAGATTCCTGTTTGAAACAACACTTGTTTAGGTGATGACACTGGCATCATAAATGGATAAAAAGTGGGAGTTGGCTTCTTGGTTGTGAATGAAAATAATAGAACAGAAACAGGCTGCGAAAGGCCAGGAAAGCAAAACCAAGTAGTTTAGATTGGTTACAATAAAAAAGGATCAAATGGAATAATACATAGAATAAACTTAGTGAAACACTATAAAAATAATATTTTCAGAAATATGTCTGAGTTGGGGCTATTACTTTCAAAGACAGAGAAGTAATAACCTTCTTCTGATCTGGAAAAAAAGAGATATTTCAACAACACTGAAGCAAGGCTATGAGGTATGAATTTTAAGAAGTTGATTAAAAATATAGAAATAAAGGAGGAAAACCATAGACAGAGAAACAAAAATTTGAAACAGGGAAGGTAGTTGTCTGATGGAAACTTGGAAAAGAAAAGGGGAACCAGAAAAAAGGGCAGTCACAGAAACCAGGGAAGGAAAATATTTCAGCAAAGAGGAAAACAGACAGCAGTGTTGGAAGACATAGTAGGTAAAGGAGGTTGAGGTTGGAGTTTTGCTAGAAGAAAGTTATTGCAAAACCATAGTTTCATTGTAGTGCAGGAGACAGATTGATTTGAAAGGAATCTTGAATGAAAATTAGTATGGAAAAACTGCTGACAAACACGTTGTGAACAAATCTCTGTGAGCTCAGAAGTGGGAGAGGAAGGGATACAGTAATAAGTGGGTGGGGTGGCAGGTTTGGGGTGAATCTCCTTTTTGAATAGAAATAGTTAACCAAGTCACTGTTCCCAAGGGACTGAAATCATAAATAGATGAGAGAAATTATGATGGGGATCAGGAGACTGAATGGACAGGAGACAGGTATGAAGAGATGGGAAACTTCTGTGGTATAAGAGAGTTTGCAGGAGACTAATGGGAAAGGAAATAGGCTGGGCTGATGGAGGAAGATCAAGAGAATTTCATCAGTTTTCCTTAAAAGCCTGAGTGCCAGGCCAAAACCACACTTCCTCCCTATTTTTTTTCTTGATAAATACTCGTTAGTTTATACACTTACGTGTAGATTCTTCAAGTTCTTGAAATCTCCTTCCTTAATTTCAGTGATTTTATTGTTCTGTAAGTCCAGCAGAGTTGTGTCAGGAGGAAGGTCTTTAGGCACTTTTTCAAGACCTAGGGACAATGAAAAGAACAAATAATTGACATTTAAAGAAACTTTAAATAGAGATACTTAGCAGCATTCACCTTTCAGTAAACATAATTTCTAGAACTCATTTCCTGAGGAAGCTTATGAAGACTTATCTGAAAGTATTTCTGTCTCCAGCCAATCAAAGGGAGCTTTATTTCGCTATGCCAAATCAAAATTTATTTATTCACATTTCCATTATGCCCTTTTCTGAGAATATATCTGAGTTACAGCTTGAAGTAAAGGATTGAGTTTGGGAAAATCATTTCTCACACATTTAATTCCACTGAAATGCGTGAATAAGAACTGCTTTCAGAAAGAGGTATGGTATTTATTAATTTCAATGTGCGTTAGCTTTTGTGGTCAAAAAGCATTTCCTGCTAATTAAAAGGTAGTAGGTTTTTGTAAAGGAAGTACAGTAGTAATTATAATAATTTCCAGACAAAAAAAAATGTTTGTTTGACAGTAACTGAAAAACTTGCAGCAAAGTCCACCTTAAAAAGAAAAAAAAAGGCAAAAAAACCCACAAAAAATCCACCCCAATAATCCACCTCCCCCCTTTCTTACATCTGAAACAATGTCCAAGTTTTCTGGAGAACAAATCTCTTGGTTTCACTACAACAGCCAAAAGAACATCAGACGGTTTAAATTAAAGACTCTCTTTGGGACTATTTTCTGAATAGCTGATATGTAAGTCCAATGAAGTCATGGAAATGAAATTATTTAGTGTTAAATAACACTTGCTTTACCCAGCTTTCCTTTCATGCTGCGACTTGGAATAGAGTAAATCTTTTATAGTCATTCTGATTTACCACAAAATTAAAATGTTCTTTCCTAATGACTCTTTTTTTTTTTTTTAACAGAATGTGAAATGCTAAATTGGTAGGAAGAAAATTACAGACACTAATAAAGTCTCTGTATGGGCATCTAACAGAAGTGGACTTCTCCACTTAGAATAGTCTTTTTATCAGCAAAGTTTTTAACAAATATTTCTGAAGCTACATTTGAATCCTCCTGGGAAAGATCTCTGTGCAGTTATTACCAGTGTCTCCCCAGTATGATGGTAGACTGCATGATATTGTTCCCAGAAGAAAGATAATATACCTATACATATTATTTTTTTGAACCTCTATATTTACTCTCAGACATGACATTGTAAACATAGTGACATAGGCTTGCCCAGAGATTAGATATGCTTTGTCCATAAAGGTTGTGGAGTGTTCATCTTTGGAAATATTAACAAGTTGACTGAACACAGTCCTAAGCAACCTGATCTAGCTGACCTCACTTTAAAAAAGGTGTGGATTAGACAATCTTAAGAGGTCACCTCCAAACACAACAATTCTGTGATGTTTAATGTTCATCACAAACGTTTTCACACCTGGATTGTAGGTTTCTCTGTCAAAACCCAACGTTAAGTAAAATTTCTTCTATTTCAATCCTTTTTAAATTATATATATAAATATATGTGTGTAGGAGTAAAAAAATTGTTGGTGCCTAATCACAGAATCACAGAATCACAGAATCACAGAATCACAGAATCACAGAATCAGAGACTAATGTCAGGGGTTGGAAGGGACCTCAAAAGATCATCTTGTCCAATCCCCTGCCAGAGCAGGATTACCTAGAGTAGGTCACACAGGAATGTGTCCAGGGATCCAGGCAGCCTGTTCTAGTGTTCTGTCACCCTCACAGTGAAAAAGTTACTGTTAATGTTTTTCTGGAACTTCCTATGCTCCACCTTATATCCATTGCCCCTTGTTCTATCATTGGGCATCAATGAAAAGAGCCTGGCTCCATCCTCCTGACACTCACCCTTTATATATTTATAAACATTAATGAGGTCACCCCTCAGTCTCCTCCAAACTAAAGAGACCCAGCTCCTTCAGCCTTTTCTCACAAAGGAGATATTCCACTCCCTTCATCATCTTCATCATCTTCATCTTCATCGTTCTGCACTGGACTCTCTTAAGCAGTTCCCTGTCCTTCTTGAACTGAGGGTGGACACAATATTCCAGATATGGCCTCACCAGGGCAGAGCAGAAGGGCAGGAGGACCTCTCTCAACCTACTAGCTACTTCCCTTCAAATACGCCCCAGGATGCCATTGGTCTTCTTGGCCACGAGGGCACATTGCTGGCTCATGGTCATCCTGCTGTCCACTAGGACCCCCAGGTCCCTTTCACCTACACTGCTCTCCAACAGGTCAGTCTCCAACCTATACTGGCACATGAGGTTGCTCTTTCCCAGGTGCAAGACTTTATACTTCCCCTTGCTTGTTGAACTTCATAAGATTTCTCCCCCCCCAGCCCTCCAGCCTGTCCTGGTCTCTCTGAATGGCAGCACAGTCTTCTGGTGTGTCAGCCACTCCTCCCAGTTTTGCATCATCAGCAAACTTGCTGACAATGCGCTCTATTCCCTCATCCAGGTCATTGATGAATATATTCAATAATACTGCTCTCAGTACCAACCCCTGAGGGACTCCAGTAGATACAGGTTTCCAACTAGACTCTCTTCCATTGACCACAATCCTCTGACTTCTTCCCTTCAACCAACTCACAATCCACCTCATTACCTGATCATCCAGACCACACTTCTTCAGTTAGCTATGAGGATGCTGTGGGAGATGGTTTCAAATGCTTTACTGAAATCCATATAAACCACGTCCACTGAACTGTCATCATCTATCCACCTGGTTATATCCTCATAAAAGGCTATCAGGTTGTTCAAATATGACTTACCCTTAGCAAAGCCATGCTGACTGCTCCTAATCACTCTCTTACCTTTCATATGCCTAGAGACAGCACCGAGGATAAGTTTTTCCATCACCTTTCCAGGGATGGAGGTAAGGCTGACTGATCTGTAGTTACCTGGGTCCTTCTTCCTGCCCTTTTAAAGACTGGAGTGACATTCGCTTTCCTCCAGTCTTCAGGCACTTCTCCTGTTGTCCATGACTTACCAAAGATGATGGAGAGTGACCCAGCAATGACTCCCGCCAGCTCCCTCAGTACCCACAGGTGCATCCCATCAGGGCCCATGGATTTATGGATGTTCATGTGTTCAGACTGATCCCTAACCCAGTCCTCCTCAACCAGGGCAAACTCCTCCTTTACCATGACTTCCTCTGGGGCCTCAGGGCTCTGGGGCTCCTGAGGACAGTTTCCAGCAGTATAGACAGAAAAAAGAAGACATTCAGTAACTCTGCCTTCTCTGTATCCTCTGTCACCAGGGCACTCATCTTATTCACCAGTGGGCCTACATGGCCTCTAGTGTTAGTTTTATCTGCAATGTATTTGAAGAAGTCCTTTCTGTTGTTCTTGACCCCCCTGGCAAGGTTTAATTATAAGGAGGCCTTAGCTTTCCTAGTTGCCTCCCTATATCCTCTGACAGCAGTCTTATATTCCACCGAAATGGTCAGTCTCTCCTTCCATGACCTACAGACTCTCTTCCTCCACTTGAGTTTGCCCAGCAGTTCCCTTATTTGGAAGGATTATGGAAAACCATGAAAAGAAATATATGTTTGATACTATATTTAATCCTTTTAACCTACATAAAGAGTACTATTCTGTAGTTACTACTATAAAACTTAACCATAAACTCCAGAGAGGCCACAGTGATGCATACTGGAGCCCTTTACTACAATTAGTGATGCACTAGGAATTCTTTACAGATTTAACCATACTCTTAAAAAAATCTGTCTGAAGATGAAGCCTCCAAGTTGTCTTTGAGTGCCTGGTCTGAATCTTCCAAAAGGTTGAAGATCTCACAGATCCCACTCGTGTCTGTTATGGGTGTTTGGTGATTAGCAAATTCTGGTAAAAAGATTGCTTTTTTAGTTATCTACATATGAGTACAGGAAACCTAAACTTTTGAAAAGTGCTTGCTTTTAACCTTACTTTTGAATTTATAATCTTAGCCTGTATAGAACATATTCTTTTGTTCTTCTATTACAAAAGTTTAGTTTCTGAATTTAAAAAAAGTTGCAGCCACTCTTTCGAGTTCATTTCCCACCTATAAGTTCTCTAACATTAGCTAAAAAATATTAAAATATTTGGACTTGATATTTATTAAAACTGAGTACAATATAGATTAACCTGGCTGAGTTTTAATCATAGCATGACACCAAAATTTTAAAAAGCACAATCATACAGCCTTGGATGAACTAGTAAAAGATTCTACCACACACAAAATGACAAGAGCCAAAGCTCATATCTCATCCTGTTTACTGTACTGATATGGTACAGATTAAGATTCTTCCTATTACTAAAATAACTTCCCTCATTCAGGCGGGGACTTCATTTTTACCAAAGGTAGTTGAAAAACCCTCATTTCAGAAGTGTAGGACTAGATTTCCAAAAATATAAAAATGTGATACCATATAATTTGTATGTTGGTTTTCTTTGGACAGTTTCTGTCCTCAGCGGACAGAGATGATGTCAGCAACTAAAAATTCTTTCAAAAAAGCACTCCTTTTTCAAGATCATATTTTTGTTATAAGAAGTTTCTTCAGTCTAGCAACTTTTATGACATTTTTTTCACATATAAATACAAAATAAAAAAGGTTTAGCTATTTGTATTCCAAGTAATATTACTATGTTCTGGTTGTCAGTACTTTTATTTTAGTAAACTGGTATCTGTAAATAAGTGCTTACAGCAGAAACTAGGGCACTTGGGAGCTATACAGCTTCCCTTTATGTGGAACACAGTTTGTAAGAACACTTGGACTGTCACTGAAGGGATAATTTGCCAGAAACTAAACTTCAAACTAAATTTCCAACTGTACTTCTCAAGCTTCACATGTCAACTTCTAAAAGCTCAAGTGTTACTCTTGAATAGAGTGTAAATGATAATTTCTCAGAGCAATGAAGTTAAACTTTTAATATTTCATATTACAATGAAAAGATAAATTTGGTAATCAGATATCCATTTGTGAAAAGTGATTTATAAAAGCTTCCTATCCTCTACTAGAAGCTAGAATGGTGTACAAT